CACAAAAAATGAGTTATAATTGCAGTATGCAGTTTCGAATTGCAGTTCGGGCCATACAAACCAGCTTTCTGGCCAGCTGCAGGGTGGCCGAATTGCAATTATTGCAAAATGTAGTTTGCCCCATACTGCAATTATAACCAATTATAACTCGTTTTTGTGACTCTACTGAGGTCACACCCCCCCACCCCACCCCAAAAAAAGAAAAAAAGATTTCACCCAAACTAGACTCAAACAAACTCAGAACAGACTGAAAACAGACTTACAGCAGGCTCAAACACACTGAAAACAGGTTGCACTCGGACTCAGACAGACTCGAATGTACATGTCGACTAAAACAGACCCGAAAGCAACTCAAAAGGGACTCAAAAGCGACTCAAAAGCCACTTAAAAGCGACTTAAAAGCTACTTAAAAACTAAAAAGCGACTCAAACAGACACACACAGACTCGAAACAGGCTCAACCATTTCCGTAACAGACTCAAACAGTTTAGAATCTGAAGGGGGTGTTTTTCTTGTTAAAAAAAAAAAAAAAAAAAAAAAAAAAAAAGAAAGTTCAGAATCTGACTCAGAACAGAATCAGACAGATCAGTTGGTAGTACTTGGAACACCCCCCCTGACCTGACTGTTGAAATACAGACCAGGTGCTGAGTTCGAACTCCACTGGAAGCAGAGAGAAGTGAAAGAGTAATAGGGTCCTTGGGGACATCCGTTAAAATTGGAACGATACAAAGAAGGGTAAAATAGCAAACGGCCCCTCTGCAAGGATGACATGCATACATCGAGAAATGGTCCAAATTTAATAAAAATAAAAAATAAAAATAAAAATTAGTAATAGACTTATAGACTAGGCTACCAGCCGGGCCGCCCGGGTCCCGGGTGGCCAGCCCGTGCAAGGACCAGGGAAGGTCCCAGCAAAAAACAAAAAAAACAAAACAAAATTCAAAAAATCCGAAAACAAACTATGTTATGCAGAAAAATAAACTGAGCAACTTTTGCCTCAGGGTCCAATCGAAATTCTTCACCGAATTTAGAATAAGAAATGAAATATTGTTTTTTTACAATTTTTATTTTATTTTTTATTATTATTTTTGGACCGGCCGGGCAAGTGACCCCGGGCCACTCTGGTAGCCTCGCAAATAGACTAATAGTACAACAAATTCTGAATGCCCAAGGCCCGGTCAGTGCGATGATGATGATGATATCTCAAGGCCGTCGCCCTTTTGTAAGAAGAAAAACCATTAAGCAGAGACTCAGGCAGACCCCACAGACTCAAAACAGAATCAGACACACTCAAACGGACTCGAACGGACTCAAACCGACTCAAACGGACTCAAACGGACATACGCGCTCAAGCAAGACTCAAAACAGACTCGAACCGACTCAGGAGTCCAAACAGAATTATTCACATTGTAACTCTTCATTTAATGGCGGGAAACTTGGATTTAATGAGGAGGGCCTATATATATATATCGTCACAAACAGAACTGCCCGGTAAACCGTAGGCAGAGAGAGAGAAGAGGACAACAAACGAGGGGCTGTGACAAACTGTTTCATCGGAGTTTCACCGACTCATCAGGAGGCTGATATATATATATATACAACCTCCTGATGAGTCGGTGAAACTCCGACGAAACAGTTTGTCACAGCCCCTC